GATGTGATTGGAGACCTTTAATATTTCATTTGAAACATTGACTGAGTCTAGTTCACAGGCCCTGCTGAAGGGGCCATGGAGGGAAGGATGGAAAGATCAGTGGTAACCTGGTACGGAGAGGGAGGGAAGCCCAGGCAGGACAGCCGCAGAGCCACAGGTGTTTAGGGAAGTGAGGCCAGCTATTTCTGTAGCTTGAGTTGCAAGGGGTGAAGACAGTTGGGAAGGGAAAGGCAGGCCTGGAGGTGAGGCCTGGGGGCAAGGAGCAGCCTGGGCAGAACCTCAGAGCTGTGGGTAAGGGTGCAGACTTTATGGCAAGAGCCATGAGGAGCTTTGTCAGAGATTCAGGTAGAAGAGTCACACACTCAGGTGACTGTTGTGGACCACCGTACCTGTAACACAGCGTAAGTGAGCTCTGGGGAGAGGGTCTTTCAGGGACTTGCCACCATTGTCTATACCTATAATGGCAGGATACACTTAAATAGCAGAATGGTGGACTTGTGACTGTTGCTGAAGGACTATACTACTGTAATAATGTAGGGGAAAACTGAGCAGGGGGAGGGCAAGTGGGGAGGGTAGAAGGGTAGAAGGGGAAATTCCTGAGCCTATGGAACTGTAGCACATCCAAAAAATAAAAATGTAAAAAAAAAAAAAAGGAATATTTCAGTTGATTAGGATAGTGATGATTAGAGTAGGCATAGTGAGAAGGGAAGAAAAAGGACAAATTATACAGATGTTTAGGTGCTTGATTGGATAATAATTGATAGTGGTTCCAGCCCCCAAGACAGGGAACCCTGGAGGGGAGGTTTGAGTAGAATGGAAAGATTAGTTCAGTTTTGTACTTGCAATGGGTTTCATGTAAAGCTCTTAAATGTCCAGAGGACGGGGCTGCTGCACATCTGAGGGAACTTTCAAAGTTGGCACACAACGGAATTAAGTTTGATATAAAACACGTTTGAAGTTCATGTATTATTTTTATATAATATGTAATTTCCATGGCCCTTTTGGAGATCTCTCATGTGGATTCAGGGCACAAGAGAATGTTGGGGAGTTCATACATAGTCAATGACCTCTATGTGGGACCAAGGCCATGGGGTCAGCTCGGGTTGCCCCAGGAGCATCATGAGTAACCAGTGGAGGGAGACGAGAGCCCTGGGGGTGACTGCGGGCATCTCAGGAACTGGTATTTCCACCCATTTGCTTTAGGAGCCTAGAATTAGTAAGACAGCTTTCCTTGGTCATGAGTGGAAGAATGCTATCATATTTTCATAATATAAAGTGTTAAAAAAGTTTTTTTTTAATTATCTTACAAGAAATTTCCATATCTTCTGACTGGGAGACAGAAGATCTTTCTCTGTCTCTCACTGTCACTCTTTCACACACGTTATTTTTTACATAAACAGGTCCTTTCAAGGATTTGTTTCCAGCCATAGGATCAAAGAGCTAATACCCAGAAGTATTAGGAAGTATTTGGAAGTCACCAGTCCACAGCATTGAGTCCAGAAACATGAGCTCGAATTATCTTCATCATTATCATCAGCATGAGCAACGAAGGGTTGACTATGTTCATTGAGTCCATGACAGAACTCTAATCTAGTGTGACCTTCACTTCTCTAAGCCCAACTTTCTCTCTCTTTTTTTTTTTTAAGATTTATTTATTTTTATTGGAAAGGCAGATATACAGAGAGGAGGAGGGACAGAGAGGAAGATCTTCCATCTGATGGCTCACTCCTCAAGCGACCGCAACAGCTAGAGCTGAGCCAATCCGAAGCCAGGAGCCTCTTCCAGGTTTCCCATATGGGCACAGGGTCCCAAAGCTTTGGGCCATCCTCGACCGCTTTCCCAGACTACAGGCAAGAGCCGGATTGGAAGCGGGGTGGCTGGGATTAGAACCGGAGCCCATATGGGATCCCGGATGTTCATGGTGAGGACTTTAACCACTATGCTATTGTGTCAGGCCCCAACTTTCTCTTCTTTAAGTGCTAACGGTAACACCTGCCTCATAGTGAGATAAGTCAGAGGCCCTGGCCTGCAGGAGGCTTCTCCAATGGCTGACTGGCTCCCATCCCTGCTTCTGTGGTTGTTAGTTCATAGCCTGGCCGTTCTGGTGACCCCCTTCTGCCCTGTAGGAGGAATCCTGTAGTATGGTGTTGCTCTGCAGCCCCGCTTGCTGGCAAGGCCTGGGGCAGGGTGTGGTTCTTCTCAGATCCCATCCACACAGACTGCTTGGGTCAGCTTTTCCTTTTCTTTTAAAATATCTAAGTGGAACAGCTTTAGGAGCAAAGGTTGATTTCAGCCCACGATTTGGAGGTTCGCAGTCCAACATCAAGGGCCTTGCTGGTTTAGGCGCCTGGTAAGGCAGGAAGGGTGGTGAGGGATGTTCACGTGGACAGCAGGAAGCAAGGTGTGACAGGAAGTTCATTCCTCCTCCAGGGCCACTGGCCTCCGCCCCCAGCAGCCTCATCCAATCACAGCGCAAACGCTCTACCTTTGGACACTATGATTGGATCAAGCATCTGCCCTTACTCCATCAATCTTTAATCCACCAACCGCTACCATAGACTTTGGGTTTAAGCATCCAGATGAATTTGGAAAGCCTAATTCTGTTCAGTACGTAAGAGCTGCTCTTCTCCAACAGGACTGTCCCCCCTCCCAGTGGCCCTCTGCTCAGGGAGCAGTGTTGGACTCAAACATGGACAGTCCATGCAAAGTGTGGATTGCTGTTTGGAATTTGTGTTTCTTTTTCCTTTTCTTTTTTTCAAATTTCTTTCTTAAATTTATTTTTATTGGGAAGACAGATATACTGAGAGAAGAAGAACCAAAGAAAGATCTTCCATCCACTGGTCTACTCCCTAAATGGCCACAATGCGTGTTGCTGAGCTGAGCCAAAGCCAGGAGTTCCCTCTGGGTCTTCCACATGAGGGAAGAGTCCCAAGGCTTTTGGCCGTCCTCTGCTACTTTCCCAGGCCACAAGCAGGTAGCTGACTGGGGAAGTAGAGCAGCGGGGAAGCGAACCACTGCCCAATGGGATCCTGGCATTTGGATGTGAAGGACTAACCAATTGAGCCATTACACTAGACCAGAATTCATGTTTCTTGAAGGCAACTCTCAATCTTTTGATCTGCAGTGGGAAGCTGACCATTCAGCAGGGGAATCCTTTGTAAATGCAAATCTGGTGGTCCTTGCTCCTAGGCCTCATCCCTGGCTTCCCCTTTCATGTCTCCTGTCGGTGCAGACTGAATCCCAGCCTGCATGCCTCAGCACACATGGCTTCCTTGGCAGGGAAGCACATTCCCACCCTGACCCGTTTTGTTAGCTGCACAGAGTGGATGTGTACCTATTCAACCATCAAGGAAGTGATCAAGTCACTCCTTGCGAAAACGTCCCTGTCCTCCGCTCTGGGGTTCCTGCCGTCCTCTTCGTGTGTTCTCTCCTGGACTCCACCCATGCTGTGTCACAGCATCATGGCTGTGTGATTGTGTGCTAGTCTCAGCTGCTCTACTGCCAGGAGCCTGTCCTACTCACCACCGGCTGCCCACTCCATGTACAGTACCTGCCCCAGAGGGTGTCCTCGGTGTTGATAGAATTAGGGAATGAATGGGTATCCAATTGGGTGGATTTACAAATGACAGGGCCATGCAGTTTGTTGGGGCAGGAGCTGCAACTTCACTGAAGTGCAGACAGCTCCATCCTCAGGACCCTGCCTTTTTCTGGGGCCCTTAGGGGTATAGTTTTTCTCCCACCTTGATCACTACCGGACTCACAATCCTTCAATTCAGAGATGAAGAATGGAACTCCTTCCCATCCCAGTGCCTGTTGTCCAGAGTGTGAGTCTCATGCACAAGGATACAGGCAGGTGGGGAGGACGGAATGTATTTCCCAAGAAGCTACTGTGTTCCAGGGTGGTACAGTGAGGCGAGCCCGAAAGTACATTCAGAAAGTGTGCTTTCAAATCCACCATCAGTGGAGCCTCTTCTTCAGTATCGTCATACATTCCACCTCCTTTCTGATTTCTCTGATAGTTTTCTCTGGAAGTCCTTCAGACTGTAGCAGCAGTTGAGAGAGAAATGTGGAAAACTTCCTAGCAGGAAACTCTTTGCCAGAATACACTGGGTTCCAACTGTGTGGGAGTCCCGGCTCACAGGATGATCCAAGGCCAAATAAATCATGCTTTGTCCTCCTAGTGGTCTGACTTTTTAAAAAGAGGTTGTTTTTATTTGTTTGAAAGGCAAAGTGAGAAGGAGAGAGGAAGGGAAAGAGAATTCTTTTTTGCCCAGAACAGCCCGGGCTGGGCCAGGCTGAAGCCAGGAACTCAGAACTCCATGCTGGTCTCCCACATGGATGACATTAACCCAAGTACTCGGGCTATCTCTGAGGCACATTAGCAGGAAGCAGGATTGGAATCAGGGAACCAGGATTTAAACAGGTACTCCAATATGGCACAGCATAGGGCGGATTCCAGGGAGGATAGCGAGAGAAGAGAGGCAGTGCAGAACGAGGAGACCTAAGCCATTTGACAGATGGAACTGCACGGGACAACAGCTGCTGGGGTATACCAAGGAGGCAAGAAGTGGCAGCAGTGTCCTCCGTGGCCTGGTGAATGAGACTGGATTCTAAAGACACTGATGGAGGAACACATGGATGTTGTCTTGGCCTGCAGGGTTTGGAGTTGGCACAAGGCTCTGGAGGTGACAGATACCGGGGCCTGGAGAGGCATCCCGTTCTGTTGTCACAGCTACTCTGCAGCAGACTCTTCATGGAGGACCCCTCTCTGGGATACCTCAAATGTCCTTGGCCCCCTAGCACTGCTGCAATGACAGCTGATGGTCGGGAGGTTCGTATGGATCATCCCAACATAATGCCTCCTCTCACAGTACCGAGAAAGCACCTGGGACCTGCGAGGGACTTGCCTGGAACCATGTAGAACCGTGAGTTCCTTTTGGCACTTGCTCCTGCTCGCTGGAGCCTACCTAACCTACCTGTCTCTCTCTCTCTCTCCACAGTCGCACCCCCTGTACCTATGCAATGCCAGTGACGACGACAATCTGGAGCCTGGATTCATCAGCATTGTCAAGCTGGAGAGCCCCCGGCGGGCGCCCCGGCCCTGCCTGTCACTGGCCAGTAAGGTAGAGAACACACTTGACCTTCACATGTACTGAGTTTCACCTAGCTCCCGGTTGTAAGAGGCTCCCTGTCCCAACTTCCCCAGGCTGTCCTGACCCATGCCAGAGGGCCAGGTGCTCAGCCTTTCTGCTTTCACCATCAGCTAGGCCCAGCACACCTTCCTGGCTTTCTTCCTGGCATGTGCCTCATCTCCATCTCTGCCCCTATCAGATGGCTTTCTAAGCCCTGACCCCTGCCCAGCGCCACTGGCAGGAGGAGAAGTCAGTGGAAGTCTTCTTCCATCTTCCAGAAACATTTCCTGGACTCTGTGTGAGAAAACAGCAGACAGTGCCACTGGATGTGTCTGCAGGGGGTGACGAGGCGACCTGTGGCACAAACAGGTGTACCTAGGGCAGGGGAATCCTCGCAGGGGCAGCAAGAGCAGGCAGTGATATCCCCGGTCTTGGTCCAGATCCCTGTGGATTTCCTGATCATCTGGGGCACCTCAAGGAAGCAGCCTGTGAGCGGCAGGGATGTAGGCCAGTTCAGAGTGTGCCACCCACAAGTAGGTGAAGATGTTCCCTTGGTTTGGCCATGCTGACATCACTGGGGTGGGATGCGAGGGGCTGGGGGTGCAAATGAGAGGCGACTGCTGGGATGCACATGGAGGAGCTGGCGTGTGTGATATCTGCATAGGTTGGGCAAAGGATCGTGTTGGGGTGAAGTTAACCTGCGTCTGGATTTGTAATGTGCCTTGGTGTCCACCACCTGTTGTCCAGCGTCTGCTCCCCATTAGGCAGTGTGTCATTGTGATGGAGCATGTATGAAAGAGAAGAGAGGGAAAGGGGTGAGAAGCTCACTGCCATGTTCCTTTTTCTTCTCCTTATTTATTAAGAAGGAATATTTTATTCTGATCATTTTACAGAGAAATCCATGTAAGTGTCTAGAAACTTCTAAAACCCAGAATTTGTGCTGTTCCTCTAGAGCAGGGTATGGTTCCACACGTGCGTGGGGCCTGGCAGGCCGTGGGTGGTTTTCTTCTCAAGCTCTTGGAGTATTGTGTCTGTGCAGGGAGAAGACACGGTCACGGACGCTGTGGAGCCAGGAGCGCACTCAGCGCCCTGCTGCTGGACCTTTGTTCTGTCACCCTGAAGTGGGACTTTGATGTCCCACCCTGTGACTGTTGTAGAGATGAAAATAACGTATGTCAGCTGCCAATGAATGTCTAAGCTCAAACACCCTAGCAGAAGAGCAGTTGTGGCTTTAGAAATAGTACCTTGAGTCCCAGTGCAGTAGCCTAGTGGCTAAAATCCTCTCTTTGAACATGCCAAGATCCCATATGGGTGCCGGTTCTAATCCCGGCAGCCCTGCTTCCCATCCAGCTCCCTGCTTGTAGCCTGGAAAAGCAGTCCACGATGGCCCAAAGCCTTGGGACCCTGCGCCTGTGTGGGAGACCCGGAGAAAGCTCCTGACTTTGGATTGGCTCAGCTCTGGCCATTGTGGTCACTTGGAGAGTGAATCATCGGATGGAAGATCTTTCTCTCTGTCTCTCCTCCTCTCTGTATATCTGCCTTTCCAGTAAAAATAAAATAAATCTTAAAGAAAAAGAAATAGTACCTCAGTCACTGACTGTGCTGAGTGCGACCGTTGCTTTTCCCTCAAAGCCAAAGCCAAAAGCCTCGAGCCCTCTCCAAGTCTCCTGTGTGGCGGCGAAGTACTTGGGCCATCTTCCATTGCCTTCCCAAGTGCATGAGCTGGAAACTGGATCAGAAGCACAGAGTAGCCGGGACTTGAACTGACGCTTTGATGTGGGCTATAGGCTTCGAAGTAGCAGCTCAACGTGCCGCACATTTGTCCCTACAGATGTCTTTCGTGTAGCTCAGGGGAGACGTCAGAGAAAGCTGCGTTCTTTGGGGGGAGTGGTCAGTGCTCGGTCAGCGCAGCTCTGACTTATTGGCGCTGTTGGTGGCACCGTTCCTGTGCACTAGATTGGGACTGTCAAGCCAGACAACCCTGGAGTTAAGGGCTGGCTCCTCCTCTGCTTCTGCGTGGCCGGGGCAATTTAGCTCCCTGCTGCAGGCTGGGTTTCCTCATCTGTCACAGGAAGTCATCATGGGGCTTGTACGCAGGAGGATTGAATGAGTACAGATGGAAGTTCTCAGCCTCCTGCCAAGGACATTAGTAGCTGCTCAATACATTATTGCTGTCATCGACATTAGCATCAGCCCGTGCTTTTAGAGATTAAAAAAGGTTGGATCTTTTTTTTTTTCCTTTCTTTTTTTTTTTTTTTTACTTGTTTGTTTCTTCTCGGAAACCCTCACCAAATTATGGACTTTTACATTCTTGTCACCACCCTTGCACCCTTGATCCAGTCACACAGATCAGTTTCTGTTTCTTTCTTAGCAACTCCAAGCCAACCCCTGTGCCAAACCAGGCCTTTATCACATCCTGTCTGGACCAATCCCGGTGGCATTTTGCCTGGCAGGAGTGAGGTCTGTGAGTGCAGGCCCCACCTGGTGGTTAAGCATAGCTGCTCTGGAGACCCAGGATCCTGGGTGGGAATCCTGCGTCGACGGCCTTTCCACTCAGGATCCTGACCGTGTTATTCAGCCCCTCCGGTTCCTCAAGTCAAACGTGGAGCTGGAGGAAGAAGGGGAAGGGCAGTGTTGTGGCATAGTAAGTTAAGCTACTGCCTTCTACACCAGCATCCTGTTATGGGCATCGGTTTGAGTCCTAGCTGCTCTACTTCTAATCCAGCTCCTTGTTCTAATGTCCCTAGGAAATCAGCTGAAGACAGCCAAAGTTTTTGGGCCCCTGTACCCACGTGGGAGACCTGGAAGAAGCTTTAAGGCTCCAGACTACTGCTTCAGCCTGGCTGAGCTCTGGTTGTTGTGGCCATCTGGGGAGTAAACCAACCAATGGGAGATCTTTCTCTGTCATCTGATTTTCAAATAAAAATAAATAATTTTTAAAAGATTTATTTTGTTTATTTGAGATGCTGAATTACAAGAGAGACAGAGAAAGAGAAGCCAGGAGCTGCTTCCTGTTCTCCCATGCAGGTGCAGGGTCCCAAGGAATTGGGCATTCCTCTGCTGCTTTCCTAGGCCTCTATAACGGAGCTGGATGGGAAGTGGAGCCTCTTGGACACAACCCGGCACCCATATGGGATACTAGCGCTTGAAAGGGGAAGACTAGCCAATTGAGCCATTGTACCAGGTCTTAACTTTTTTTTTTAAGTGGAACTGGGTGTTTTGTAGAGTTGTAAAAAATAAATAAAGCCATCTATACCCATTGTTGATGTAATAATAGCTAATGCTTAAAAAACATTTCTTTGTGCCAGGTCTTATTATGAGTGCTTTACATGGATTCATTCATGTGCTCTTACCAAAATCTTAGGGAGCAGGTCAGGTTGCTATGCCACCATTCAGAATAGGAAATGGAGGCACAGAGAAATAAACTGATTTGTTCAAAGTCTCAAAGCTGACAAATTGGTAGCAGAGCCAGGTTTCAAATCTAGGCAGTCTGGGCGAAAGTAGATTTCCTTCCCTCTCCTTTAAAAAGTTTGATCTATTTTGTTTGAAAGGAAGAGAAGAGTGACGGAGGCATCGTCCATCTGCTGGTTCATTCCTCATAGTTTACAGGACTGGGCTAAGCCAAAACTGGGAGCCAGTAACTCCATCTGGGTCTCCCAAGCGGGTGGTAGGAACCTAGGTGGCTTGAGCCATCACCTGTTACTTCCTAGCGTGCACATTAGCAGGAAGCTGGAGTTGGTAGCAGAGCTGAGACTCAAACCAGGCCCCCTTGTATGGGATGCGGGGGTCCCAGTGACACCTAACTGCTATGTCAAATCTGAGCCCTCTTCTCTTTCCTTCTTGCTGCTCACTACCCTGGTACACTCCCTCGGCTTTCCAGCCCAGGTGGATCCATCTCCTTGTACTGAATCTTCCCTGCCCAGCCCCACCCAGTCAGCCAGGGCAGTGGCAGAAATGCCACGCACCCTCCAGGCATACCTGGATTCACACTCCTGGCTCTGCAAAGCTAGGTTTCATGGAGGTTCCCCTGGGTGCAGGCAGACAGAGGGACCTCCTCCCACCTCAAAATGAACAGCCTCACTATGATTGGCCTTGTGTATTGTGTCAGATATGGGGCAGGGGAGTGATGGTGGCAGGAAGGAAGTTTTGAGGTGAGAAAGGGTTGGAAGCTGCTGGTTTGTTCCATTTATCGTGTTCTATAACGCTGTTGTCAGCACTATAATTTTATGTGCATGTATGCCTTATCTCCACACCTAGCTTATGAGTTGTTCGGGAGGGCCTGGCCTTCCCTGGCTCGGGGCCCTGCACAGTTAGGTGCACTGTTAATTTTGATTAAGTGGAGATAGACAGAGGCTCCCTGTGCTGTGAAGAGCAAAACCCAAGGCCCAGAGAAGTGTAGCTGCTGAGCAGTGAGCCCAGCGGTGAGCAGGATTGCGGCTCACGCTCACTGTTCTCTGACCCTGCTCTCCTAGGGAGGACTGCAGTTGCCCGCCGCCAAGGGCAGTCTTGGCCACTGCGCCTGGATCTGATCCACTGTGAACCTTCCAAGAGGTCTCTGTGTTGTCTTTGCATGGCCAAGGTCTCCTGTCTGGAGCGGACATGCACCCTCTCTTTGCCTTCCAATTTCAGGTTCCCCCAAGATGCTCCTTCCCTCCTCCCTGTACCTCTCCCTGCTGGGCCCCCATGGGGTGGCTCTCTGTCCCCAAATCTTGTTTTTGATTCCTAGAACTCTGGGCACGGGAACCCACCGCTTGCAAGCCCTGTTTGTTTTCTCCTCTTGGCCAACTCTCTGGGCTCTTTGATCACTTTTACAACTTTGTAATTATGGGCTGTAATGGGCTGGGGTGTTTGAACGGCACAGTAATTGCGTTCTACTGTTCCTACCCCAATTCTTCAAAGAGAGAGGGGTGGGGAAGTAAGAAAATCTCCAAAGCACTGAGTCTTTGCCCTGGCCATGCTCTCGCAGGCTGGCCCAGGCTTACACAGTTTCGTGGGGACCCAGGCACCTTTCCTCCAAGCCCTCCGCCATGTCCCCAGAGTGTTGAGTTAGTCAGTGGGATTCTCTTCCCAGGAGGAAGTCCTTTTCCCCCTGGTGGTGCTCCCTTGCCCTAGCCTTGGAGGACTCCAAAGATGGGAGAGGCCTGCAGGGTGTGGCCGAGGCAGGGTGGGCTTCCTAGGAGCAGGTGGGCAAGGCTGTGGGGGGGAGAGATGGAAGCTGTGCTCTCTTGCTAGCTCCAGTAGCTCTGCTCTGGGGCCTGTGAAGTTCTGGGCAGTTGGCCTGGTGACGCTGGGCCCTGGAGCTGCATAGGCACCCTGGGGAACAGGGCTGAATGAATCTGGAAGTCACCCTCCTGATCAAGACAGGGTCTCCACCACCGAAGACCCTGGCTCTCCCGCCTCCAGGCAGTAGGTTCAGAGGCCACCCCCTCCCCCCACCCCCAACCACTGCTTGGGGAGTGGGAGCAAAGGCACTGCTCCCAGCCAGCCTGGCAGTAGACCTGCCCTAACAGGCTCTTCCTGGGAGGGCAAAGCAGGAGATCAAAGGCGGGAGAGTATGAGTAAGTCCCAGGCCTGGCTCCTCTTCCTGCCACCCCTGTGAGTGAGGGTTAACCCTTCACTGCCTATACAAGGATCCTGGGCGTTGGCGGTGGAGGTGGGGAGGCGGGGAGGCGGGGAGGAGCAGGCTGGTTGCAGCCTGATGCCTCTGCAAGACCAGCCTTTGCTCCGGGAAGCCGGACCAGGCGAGCCAGCAGCAAGAATAAGCCCCTCGCCCTGTCTTATTGCTCACCCTCTTGCCTCCACCGCACCCTGGGCTCCGGTCTCCGCCCTTTGGCCCCCACACAGTGTCCCTGGCTTCCCATGCTTTGCTCTCTCCTCCTGCTCTGCCTGGCTGGCTGGATTCTGCTGGATTCCTGGGGCCCTCGGGGAACATGCTCATGCATGGCTGTGTCCTTGTGGGAATGGGGCCTCCCTGCCTGAGCTTCTAATGACACCCTATGGGAGAAGAGAGCAGGTGGAGTCCTAGAGTCCGTCAAACACCTTGAATTGGAACTAGAAAGGCAGGGAAGGGGCGAGGTGGGCCGTGACAGGAGCTTGGCTGCAGAGGCGTGGGGTGATGGTAGAATTCTAGGCTTTTGGCACTTTGCCTGAGCTGGATGCTGCCCTGTTGACCCCTCTTGTCAGACAGGGCTGCCCTGACAAGCCTAGCTGGCCCCTTCTCTGCACACTCCCTCCTCTGTGTACGGCTTCTGGGAGCACTGGTCACTCCCTGTTTTGCCCTTTCCCTGCTTGGCAAAGGCAGGCTGAACTTGGATGACAGTAGCAATGTCTCCTTTGTCCTAAGTGCTAGAGCCAGGTCTACCAGCTGGCACCCCAGCAGGCCCTTGTTAAGAATTCATTCCAGGGCCCAGTGTGGTAGCCTAGCGGCTAAAGTCTTCGCTTTGTATACTCCAGGATCCTATATCGGTGGTGGTTCGTGTCCCAGCTGCCCTGCTTCCCATCCAGCTCCCTGCTTGTGGCCTGGGAAAGCAGTTGAGGATGGCCCAAAGTCTTGGGACCCTGCATCCAGGCTCCTGACTTTGGATTGGCTCAGCTCTGGCCGTTGCAGCTACTCGGGGAATGAATCAGTGGACAGAAGATCTTCCTCTCTGTCTCTCCTCGCTGTATATCTGCTTTTCCAATAAAAAATAAAATAAATTTTTTTTTTTAAATTTATTCCATTGGAGCCAGCACTATGGCATAGTGGGCTAAGTTTCTGCCTATACTGCTGACATCACATATTTGAGTTCTGGCTGCTCCGCTTCCCTCCCAGCTCCCTACTTATGGCTTGGGAAAGCAGTGGAGGATGGCCCAAGACCTTAGGACCCTGCTGTCTGGTTTCAGATCAGTTCAGCTCTAGCCGTTGTGGCCATTTGGGTAGTGAACCAATGGAAGATCTCTATCTGTCTCTCCTTCTCTCTGTAAATCTGCTTTTCAAATAAAAATAAAGTAAATCTTTTTTAAAAAAAATAATAGAATGGAAGAAAAGAAGAAAGACTAAAGCTGTCTTGTGGTCCCGGGTGAGTTCAGGGGACAAGGCAAGGAAGCCTTCGGATCCCTCACGTATTTCCGTGTCACTGGGCAGTGTGTCCTAGGAACACAGGTGTCTGGGAGGCCGGGCCCTTCCTCGGCTGCACCCTTGTGCAGCCCCAAGCCAACACCCAGCTTTGTCCCTGCAGGCCCGGATGGCAGGTGAGCGAGGAGCCAGTGCCGTGCTCTTTGACATCACTGAAGACCGAGCTGCTGCTGAGCAGGTACCCAGGGGTAGCGGAGTGTTGGAGGTGGGGGCTGGATGAGGACCGAGAGAAGTCACAGCAGCCCTTGGGGGCACCTTGGCCCTGCAGCTGCAGCAGCCCCTGGGGCTGACCTGGCCTGTGGTGCTGATCTGGGGTCGTGATGCCGAGAAGCTGATGGAGTTCGTGTACAAGAACCGCAAGGCCCATGTGAGGATTGAGCTGAAGGAGCCCCCAGCCTGGGTAAGCAGTGAAGCCCCCTGGGCACCATCCTACCTCCCCCTCCCGCCCGCCCTTGCTCTCAGTACCCACCCCCCTCTTTGTTCCATGACCACCCTGCTCAAAGTCCTTAAACTCTTGGAGCTGAAAGCATCCGTCAGCTGTATGTCCTGAGTGAATGGCTGTTCCCTCTCTGGGCCCAATGCATCCTAAGGTCATCTTCAGCTTTGGGATGTCCTGGCGCAGGACAGTGCTGTGAGAATGGCTCCTGCCATCCCCGTCCAGGTGGTCACCTCTCCAATGGCCAGGATCTTTATCCCCTACTCTGCTCCTTCCCCCACTTCTCTTAGACCCTGCCTGCGGATGCTGGTTACTCCCTACTCTGTCCTTGTCCTATGAACCAGGCCCACCACCTGCGCCTCTCCCAAGCCTTTATTACCAATTTGTTCCACTACAAGAGGGAGATTCTAGGCCAGCAACACCTTCCCCCTACTGCCTGCCCCACTAGCAGGGAGCCCCCTTTCCCATCCTGCCACCTCCACAGGTGGTCCTGCAATGAAGGCTGGGAGTCCCCCATCCCAGGAGGACCAGCACTGAGCACCTGGGGGAACCTGAGCTCTGCCTTTCAGCCCCAGCATCTCCTCTCAGCCGGCTCCTTGGAGAACCATGACCCTTGTCTTCTCTGCTCACTTTTCCAGCCAGATTATGATGTGTGGATCCTCCTGACGGTGGTGGGCACCATCTTCGTGGTCATCCTGGCCTCAGTGTTGCGCATTCGGTGCCGCCCCCGCCACAGCAGGCCGGTGAGCAGTGCGGGCTCCCTGGGAGAGGCTAGCCAGTGGACGCCTGTGCGGTGCCGAGGGGTGGGGAGCGGGAAGGAGAGTGTGAGCAAGATGGAGGCCCCAGTGTCCATGAGGCAGCTTTCAGCCACACACCCCAGCAGCCTCTCCCTACTTGGCTCATTCATTCATCAAGTGTGCTCAGCTCCTGTTAAGTGTCAGGCACTTCTGGGGATAGTGGAGTGAACAAAAATGACAAAAAATGTCTCTACCCCCAAGGAGTTTTTGTTCTGTAGGGAAGAACTGGACAATAAATAAAGTAAAAATACATAATATTCCAGGCGGTGGGATATGCTAGAAAAGAAAGAGGAAGAAGAGAGCAGGAGGTATAGGGTGACTTTAAAAGCAGGTCCACGGAACTGGCTAATCTTCTGCCTGCAAGTGCTGGCATCCCAGATGGATGCTGGCTCTACTCTCGGCTGTTCTACATCTCATCCAGCTCCCTGCCAGTGTGCCTAGGAAAGCATAGCAAAGGCCCAAGGCCTTGAGACCCTGTACCTGCCTGGGAGGCTCCTGGCTGCTGTGTTTAGATTGGCTCTTGTGGCTGGGGAGTAGACCAGCAGATAGAAGATCTGTTTCTCCTTCTCTGCAAATCTGCCTTTCTGATAAATATAAATAACTCTTTAAAAAGAAGAAGAAGCAGGTTTAGAGAAGACCACTGGGCCACATGGAGAAGATGACGTGATAGACCACAGGACGGTGGTGTGGTCTGTGCAGATCTCCAGGAGGAATGTAATTGAGGCAGAGAGCATGCTAAGCACGAAGACCTGCATACCTGGCATGTCCGAGGGACAGCTTGAAGACCGTGTGGCCGCAGTGGGGCAGGCGAGAGAGAGGCTGCTGTAGAGGACATGCAGTGCATGGAGCCCAGTGGTCTGGAGCTGGCCACAGGCACTTGTCAGAACTTTGCTTTTGTTGTTGGTGATGTGGGAACCCTTGCAGAGATGTAAGCAGGAGAGTTGACTCGGAGCTTTCATGCAGTCCCTCCTGCCACCGTGGGGAGCAGAGATGGCAGAGTGGCAAGACTGGAAACAGGAAGCCAGCAAAGAGGTTGGGGCAGGAATGTAGACAGTGGCTTGGATTAGTGAGGGAGGGAGTTGGGTTCTGGGTGGATTTACAAGGCAAAGCCTAGGTTTACTGATGGATTGATTACTCATGCACAGTGAGAGAGGAATCAAGGTTTTGGGCCTGAGCAATTAGAATGGAATTGTCATTTTCTGAAATGGGAAAGATGAGGGGTGGGGTGAGGGTACAGGGGCATGGCCTGGATGGTTAGTGGGAATCTGAAGTTCAGATCAGATCATGTGGCATTGGATATACTGGTAGATGCCCAAGTCCAGATGTGTCCAGTCACAGCTGGATAGAGTTTATTTCATTGGTCATCAGAGAGGAAAAGCTCAGTGGGCTGATGAGGAGGTGGGGAGGAGCGTTTGACTTGCTTGCCAGAGCTGTGCATGAATTCTGAAAGGACAGCTTTCCACGGGTCAGCTGACCATGTGATCTGACTGGAGGCCTGCACACTGAAGCCCGCCTGGGGCCCAGCAGCAAGGAAGATGAGCCTTAGCCTTGTTCTGAGTCCCCTGCCTCTCCCCTAGGATCCTCTTCAACAACGAACGGCCTGGGCCATCAGCCAACTGGCCACCCGGAGGTACCGGGCCAGCTGCAGGAAGGCCCGGGCCGAGTGGCCAGACTCAGGCAGCAGCTGCAGTTCCGCCCCCGTGTGTGCTGTCTGCCTGGAGGAGTTCTCTGAGGGCCAGGTAAGGCAGGCCACATGGTGCACATCTGTGCCCAGGCCAGGGGGAGTGGACAGGTCGAGGGCTCGCAACGGAGCCCTGGCTGTGTCAGTGTCCAGTGTGTCCCACGTGGAGCCAAGGAGGGGACTGCCCTGAGGTTTGCTTACTTTCTTGGCCTTCTCTGGAGGGAACCAGTACCAAATGCCAGGTGGTGGTTTAGATGCCTTATCTCCTGTTAGCCCCAGGGCTGTGGGGGGTAGATTAGTTTCTTTATCCTCATTTTCCAGCGCAAAACTGTTAAGAAACTTGCCTGAGGTCATAACATCACTAAAGCTCATACCATTTCTAGGCTGTGGTGAGGTCTGCTGTAAATAAGTGATAACAAGGAGAGCCGAAGAGGGGGGCAGGGGTTCTGGCTCTGGTCACTCCTGTGCTGTAGGAACATCTGGACTCCCTTGTTTTCTCCAGGAGCTACGGGTCATCTCCTGCCTGCATGAATTCCACCGGACGTGTGTGGACCCCTGGCTCCATCAGCACCGGACCTGTCCCCTCTGCATGTTCAACATCGTAGGTAGGACGTGGACCAAAGATTCCCCTGTGGGCAGGTGGATGGGTCCAGAACATGGCTTCCCTCGGAAGAGGCTCCTGGCCAGCAGCTAGGAGACAGAGCAAAGGCCACAGTAAAATCCACTGGGCACTGCGCTGATCAAGGAGGGCTCGACTGAGGGGCAGGGCAAGACAGCCAGAGGATTTACAAGTGATTTGTATTTTGATTCTCAATCTGGGTGATTTGCATATTTTTGAATTTTCTGGCAGTAATGAAAATCAGTATATTCTGACACTTTTCTAAAAGATGAAAGTAGAATGAATATCTTGAGGAAAGAGAGCCTTTCTCGTTCACCCAAAGAGGCAAGGTGGGCTAGCGGAGCACCTCCCACGCCGCTGGGCGGGGCAGGGGTTAGGGTGTGCCGGGAGCCTCCCAGGCAGACAGCTGTCTGTGGGCAGCGAGGGAGATGCAGGGCCCAGGCAGGTGGGGGTGGCTCACAGCGGAGTCTGCCAGGTGGGGAGAGCCACACTTTTCTGAATGCGTTCTCCATTAGAGTTTTGGAGTCAAGCATCTGTGCTCTTGGTTCTTTTTTCCAGAGGGAGATTCATTTTCCCAGTCCTTGGGAGCCTCTCGATCCTACCAGGAACCAGGCCGGAGGCTCCACCTCATCCGCCAGCATCCCGGCCATGCCCATTACCACCTCCCTGCTGCTTACCTGCTGGGCCCTTCCCGAAGTCCAGGGGCTCGGCCCCCGCGACCTCGTTCCTTCCTTCCATCCCAGGAACCTGGCATGGGCCCTCGAGCCCAGCGCCTCCACAGAACCACACACCCCCGGGCTCCAGGCGAGCAGCAGTGTCCTGCAGCAGTCCAGCGCCCCTATGCACAGGGCTGGGGACCAAGCCGCCTCCGATGTCCCACACAGCACCCTGCTGCTTGCCCAGGGCCCCTGCGCAGGACCAGACCTCATGACAGCAGCGGCTCCGGAGAAAGCTACTGTACCGAACGTAGTGGCTACCTGGCAGATGGACCAGCCAGCGACTCCAGCTCAGGGCCCTGTCACGGCTCTTCCAGTGACTCAGTGGTCAACTGCACGGACATCAGCCTGCAGGGCATCCATGGCAGCAGTTCTACCTTCCGCAGCTCCCTAAGCAGTGACTTTGATCCCTTGGTATACTGTAGCCCCGAGGGGGATGCCCAGCGGGAGGAGCCGCAGCCCAGCGCAACCTCCCGGCGCCGTTCCTTGGACTCGGTGGCACCCATAGGGGAAATCCAAGTTTCTAGCCATGTCCACTATCACCGCCACCGGCACCACCACTACAAGAAGCGGTTCCAGTGGCATAGCAGGAAGCTTGGCCCAGACACTGGGCTGCCCCAGTCCAGGCCTGCTGCCTCTCGGACCCAGGTGCAGCCAGAGCCACCATCGCTTGAACCACACGTCACCAAGTCCGACCCAGCTGCCCCTTCAGGGCAGCTCCCCAACTCACAACGGTCCAGGGCTCCAATGGAGCTGGCCCCCGGCCATGCAGAAGCCTCCAACCCCAGCCCCAGCCTCAGCAGTCTTTGCAACCTGCAGAAATCCAGCCTTCCCAGCCGGCACCCACAGAGGAAACGACGGGGTGGCCCTGCAGAGCCGCTTCTGGCTCCTCGGCCCCAGGACCCAACTGCACACCCCGCCTGCCAGGCTATCCCCCATTTCAGTACCAGCCTGGCTTACCCTTGGCCTCCAGAGGCCCACCCGTTGGTCTTAAGACCTCCAGGCCTGGACAGGAGGCTAATACCAGAAACCCCAGGTCCCTGTTACTCAAGTTCACAGCCAGTGTGGTTGTGCCTGACTCCACGTCGGCCCCTAGGACCACACCCACCTGGGGAGGGGCCTTCTGGATGGAGTTCTGATCCCCCTGGGAGCAGGCCATGCCCTTACTCACACTGCCAGGTGCTGCCAGCCCAGACTGGTGAGTATCCAGGGGAATTGGGTAGGGTAGGGAGGGGAGGGAAGAGCTGGATGTCGCGAGATAGGGAAAGTGAGCCAGCTAGGGCTGGTGGCAGCTGAGAACACCTGGCTCAGCACAGGACACGGGCTGCAGTTCTACAGCCTTGCTCTTTCAGTTGCCAGATCACAAGAAGGGCTCCAAGGGAGGGACTAGTGCGGACGGAGCCATCAGTTGGAAGCCAGGGCAGCAACAGCAACATGGTGTTTGATGCCTTGATAATGGGTACTGTTCTGCCAAGGCTCACAGCTCAGTGTCAGCTCTGGGTACTCAGCATGCTGGAAGTATTCCCTGGGGAGAACATGATCTGGTAAAAGCCATGACCACAGGCAAGTACCACCCCAGGCCTTGCGGAAACGAGCCATGTGCATGCTGCACAGGGATGCAACCAGAGGCAGCGCCCCTGTGGCTCACTCCCCTGGGTCCCAGGTTCTCTCCTCTCACCCTATGGTGAGAGAGCACCTGGAGCACCCCTTCCCAGCACCCTGACCCATAAGGCTAACCACATTTTCCTGGGGATTCAATATATTCCCATGTTACAACCATTGGGGACAATGTAAATTCTCAATGTTAGCTTGGTGGCTATTTTTTTGTTTTAATTACATTGCATTATGTGACACAGTTTTATAGGCACTGGGATTCCCGCCCCCCTTCCCAAAGCCTCCCCCCATGGTGGATTCCTCCACCTTGTTGCAGTATCACAGTTCAAATTCAGTTGAGATTCTTTCATTGCAAGCATATAAGCTTGGTGGTTATTGACCCTGATACCAGGATACTTCAGCAAAGTGTCTGTGGGGAAATGGAGTTAAAAGGTAAGTTTATTTGAGTGGTAAAAAACCAAACCAAACAAACAAAAACAACTTTGAAATCCATGTGTATTCTTCTTCCTACTACGCATGGAAGACGGCACATTTTTCTCTCCCACTTCCAGGGCTCCCTACCTGCCATCCTCCCCCAAGGTGGGTGACACACAGCTCTGTGAACACTGCAACCACTAGATGACACCCTTCCACCCAAGATGGGAACCCCAAGGGTCTGAAACAGAAGGCTTCACATCTGGAAATCCTGCAGGACCACTGTCATTCATTCCCTCACTCACTCATTCATTTCCTTCCTGTATCCCACATGCTTTAACCTACACTAGATCCCATATCAGACTCTGAGTGCAGGGAGCCGCCAGCCAGGAAAGGAAAGCCCCGGGGCTGCGGGGGAAAAGGCATACCAACAGCTGCATCTATAAGGCAGCTGCTACACAGAGCATTTCATGCATGCTTGGGCCGTGTGTTTGTCATGTGTGTACTTTCTATGCTGCCAATGTCAGACCTCTGTGACTGGCTTTTTTGTTTTTTACATTTATTTAATTTACTTGAAAGAGTTGGGCAGGGGGGAGATGGAGAGAGAAAGAGAGATATCTTACATCTGCTGGTTTACTCCTCCATTGGGTCACAACAGATGGAAGAAAGCTGAGTCAAATTGAAGCCAGGAGTCAGGGATTTCTTCCAAGTCTCCCTTGTGGGTACAGAGACCCAAGGCTTTGGGCCATCCTCTGCTGCTTCCCTAGACTATTATTAGCCCGAAGCTGGATCAGAAGTGGAGTAGCCAGAACTAGAACCTGTGATGCTGGCATCACAGATGGAGGATTAATATGCTATACCACTGCATCAGCCTCAACCGTCTATGGTCTCCTTAGGTCCAGCACCAAGACCCCCATGACAGTGTCTCAGCTACAGCCTAAAGGTCAGGGCAGGAGCCTGTTCTGGGAACAGGCATCCTGCTGCTTCCTCCTGCTCACTCCCATAAGCACAATTCTTGGGGCCGGCACTTTGGCATCTTATATGGGTGCTGGCTTGTGTCCTGGCTGCTCCACTTCAGCTCCAGCTCCTTGCTACTGCACTTAGGAAAGCAACAGAGAATGGCTTGGGTCCTTGGGCCCCTGCATTCACATGGAAGAGACAGAAGCAACTTCTGCTTTGGATTGGCCCAATTGTGCCCATTACAGCCATTTTGGGAGTGAGCCTGCAGATGTGGGATCTGTCTCTATTTCTCCTTCTCTCCGATATCTCTGCCTTCCAAAAATAAAAATAAATAAATCTTAAAAAGCAACAACTAAATTCTTCCTATTGTTCTGAAAGCCAGCATGTTTAGCCCTACTCCCGGAAGCCCCTCCTGACTGCTGCACTTGGTCCTGGTCTTCCCCTTCCTCTCAGCAGGGCTCCTATGATCCGGGTCCTGGCCCACCCGTCTAACAGCCATCTGCATGTGCACTTTCTCCTGTGGAGTGGTCAGGGCCCCTGCTGAGGTTTTTCGCCTTTTATTTGGCTCATGGTAGCAGGCCCAGTTCACAACGAATGTCCATAATTTCTGACCGAGTGAATCCATGAATAGCAAGTGTCAGTAACACACTAGTTGGTATGTTTCTCTTTCTTGCTCATTTGTTGTTTTCTTTCCTGTCTCACAACCACAACCCCTGGCCCTGTCAGCTTGCAGACACCTAAAGGCTCCTCCTTCTCCCTGGCCGTCTCACAGTACACTTTCTCACAGATGGGTGCAGTGGGTGCTGGGCCTAATTCTCCGTGACCTTTTTTCTCTTGTCTTTGAACCAGGCACAGAAGAGGAGCTGGAGGAGCTGTGTGAACAGGCTGTGTGAGGCGGGCAAGCCCAGCTCCAGCCACGAGAGTGCTCCGGACAACTCGGGGGCCCTACCTGGCCCAAATCCTGTTCCTGGGAGAAGAAAGGACCTCAGCAAACACGTCGCTTTGGGCTGTGCTTCCTGGAGCCCCTGGAAGAAGTATGGTCAATGGTGGACGGCAGCAGGTGCCGTTTCCTGCTCCCAGCTCCAGACCTTGTTTGCAGAACATGGCTCCAACACAGCAAGTCTGTGTCCAGCTGGGCAGCCAGCCATGGACTGTATGCACGTGGAGGCCAGTCCCTGGAAGGCTGGTTTTCAGAGGGCAGGAAGTTAGGTAGCCAGGAGTTACAAAGGTGCTGCTCTGGTCCCCAACCCCAGGAGGGCAGGTTCAGCTGAACCTGTGACGCCTTCTCGCCTCCTTCCCCAGGTGAGCTCTGCATACCAATTCTGCCCTCCCACCAAGAGAGCCACTGAGTCAGGGGTAAACCCAGCTCTTCCATTTTCCTCCTTTGCAAGAGGACGGAGGACAGAGCAGAGCCTTAAAAGGGGAGCACCGCAGCTTTTCCAGGACGGCCATTTTCCCCTTCTTGGCCCTAAGGGGAGGGAGGCTCTGGAAGCCCGAGTTGTGTTCCTGATGTGAGCAAGGCACCTTGGAGAGCCTGAGTTGCATCCTGCTGTCTTCAGAGGCCTGTTAGTCCAGCAGCGCCAGCCTCTCCAGGGCCCGTCTCAGCGTCCCTCAGCAGGTGAACAGGAGGAGATTTCTCCTGGACTTCATCCAAGGAAGAGAAGACAGGACTGCAGGAGGCCAGGGACAGCTGAGAATCCCTTCTCTGGGAGAAGTTTTGTCTTGGAGCAGGGACAGCAAGGATTAGGGGAGCACAAAGCAAAAGCTGAGTATGACTCTGGGGTGTGGAGAGTCCAGAGACCTGCCTCCCCAATACAAGCCATACAGCAGGCCCACAACCTACAGAAAGAGCGAGGGAGTGGCCCTGGAGCAGGTGTGGCCTAGGCAGCCTGTCCCATCCCCGGTGGGCAGGAGCCGAGGAGCCTCCTTGGGGTGCTGTTCAGCTCTGGGGTGTCCTGACCATTGCCAGCCCCTCAGGCATTATCCCATATGGAATGTGAATGTGGGGGGCAAAGTGGGCAAAGAGCCTCCATGGGACCCTTCTTTCCTCGGTCAGTGGGAAGACTCACACCTAAATACCCACTTGGGTATTTATATCTGAACCAGACAGAGAGATGCTTGAATCAGGCACTATGTTGAGAAATGTATTTATTTGCTAATATATTTATCCATAAATGCACTCTGGTCTTATGGTCTTGTTGTCATTACAGTAAGTCATTCTGTCCACATGGTGAAAAAAATCAGGGACTACCCTTTTGCTTAGGAGGTTTAGGGAAGAATGGAGAGCATGGCAAAAAGGACTTTCTGCATGTGTGTACATGTGTTTTAATTGCTATTTGAAAGAGCCACAAAGAATGAAAGAGAGTGATCCTCCGTCCACCAATTCACTCCCCAAATGGCCACAAATGCCAGGGTTGGGACCAAACTAAAGCCCCGAATCTGGAGCTTCGTCTAGGTCCCCCATGGCCATCCCCCGCTGCCTTCCCAGGCACACTAGCAGGGCACCTGAGGGACTCAGACTTGCCCCATGGGATGTGAGCATCACAGCACTGGCCCGAGCACAGCTTCAAGGGGAGGGAAGAAGGGCACACGCTTGGATTTCCATCCCCGCTCTGTCGATAGTTAATTTTAGGGCCTTGAGCAAATTGCCTCTGCCTCACTTTGTGCATTCACAGAATGGCGCCCACCTCCCAGGGTTCCGGGAGGGTTTCTGTATGACAGTGGAGACACGATCCCAAAGTGGGGGGTGGACAGCCCCCCACAAACAGGCCTTCCTTGAAAGAAGCTAGTTTTTTTTTAAACATTTACATATATATATATATATAAATATATATATATAATATATAATATATAAATATATAAAAATATATAATATATATAAATATATAAAATATATAAATAAATATAAATATATAAATAAATATAAATATATAAATAAATATAAATATATATAAATAAATATATATATATTTTATTACAAAGTCAGATATACAGAGAGGATGAGAGACAGAGAGGAAGATCTTCCCTCCGATGATTCACTCCCCAAGCGACTGCAATGGCCGGTGCTGTGCTGATCCGAAGCCGGGAACCAGGAACCTCTTCCGGGTCTCCCATGCGGGTGCACCTGAAGCTCCAGCCTAGACCCTCACAGGCGTTCAAGGCGGGTCGTGCTGGTCATGGAGACGGCCCCGGGCCCGAGGAGACCCTCGCCCACTCCCTCATGCCACCATCTCGGCTTCTCCACCGAAGGTTGGGGAGGGGCGCTGACCATCAGTGGCCGAGTTTCGAACCTGCGTGCACTGCTTGTATTTCCCCACAGGATAAAACGGAATAAAGGAGAAAAAAAAAAAAAAGCCAGGCGTCCCACACACATTCCTTACTAAAAGCTCAGGGCTACTTCTCGTATAAACCATCAGCCGCACCGATCAAACCTGCACAGGGATTTTTAGGAACACACGGTGCGCTTTCCGCGCGTGGGCTCGCGGGCCACCGGTCCCCGAGGACGGAAGCCCCCTAGGACACTGTCGCCTTTCGGGAAAGGCGTTCTAGATTTGTTTTCGCTTTTCAAACGGAGCTCCACTGTCACCGCCTAAGGACACCGGAGCCCCGGGAGAGACCTGCGGCGTTAACCCTGCGGCCTGCTAGGCCTCCGTGCTCCGGCGCAGGCGCCGCCCCGCCCCGCCATCGCCCCGCCCCCAGCCATCGCCCCGCCCCCAGCCATCGCCCCGCCCCCAGCCATCGCCCCGCCCTCAGAGACCTCCCCCAAGGTCCGCAGTTCTGTTTTCCCCGCCCGGCGGAGGGAGAAACCATCTCTTCAGGTGGCGGGGGGGGGGAAGATTGCGCGCGCAGGAAGAGGAGGAACCAGGCGCCGGATATCAACGCACGCACGCTGCGGCAGCGACTGTTTACTTCCGGCGTTCGTGAAGCTGGCGGCGGTGTCTTCACCTGCTGCGGGTCCTGTGCATTCCGTCTTGGAAGATGGCCCTGGAGACGGTGCCCAAGGACCTGCGGCACCTACGGGCTTGCTTGCTGTGTTCGTTGGTCAAGGTGTCTGTCGGGGCGCGCGGTGAGGGGAGTGGGAGGCGAGGCTGTGCCGGTCGCCGGGCAGCAGGCGTGGCCGGAGGTCTAGGCCTGGCGCTTTGGCTGACCTGGTAGGAGCTGGAGTCGGAGGAGGGTGAGGGTTCCCGACCCTGGGAACTCGGTTTACCCCACCAGAGGGACCCGGCCCAGCCCCTCCAGCCTGACCGACCCTGGGGACCCGGCCCAGCCCCTCCAGCCTGACCGACCCTGGGGACCCGGCCCAGCCCCGCCAGCCTGACCGACCCTGGGGACCCGGCCCAGCCCCGCCAGCCTGATCTGGTGCAGTAGGGAAGGACTGGCCCGGTTGGAGCTCATGGTTCTCTTCCCCCCATCAGACTATCGACCAGTTCGAATACGACGGCTGTGACAATTGTGATGCGTACCTGCAGATGAAGGGCAACCGGGAGATGGTGTATGACTGCACCAGCTCCTCCTTTGATGGGTAAGCCTCCCTCATAGCCGGTCACGCTCCTCCTGTCCACACAGGGAGGACATGCAGGACCCTAGGCCTGGTCGGATTCGGGGGTTCCTGAGCGCCCAGTGCAGTGCAACACTTGACGTGGTGACTATTTCAAAAACGGTGGGGACTGTGTTTCCCTTGTGCTCTGCCTAGTATGGGGCCTGGAGAGGAGACACTAAGTGCTGACTGCACCAAATCCCTTTTGAAAATGAAGGGGAAGGAGGGTACAGTAAGGACAGATTACTGCCCACAGCTGAAGCTCTTAGGGGTCTCCCTAAGGAGATCCTCCCCTTTTTTTAAAAATCCATTAAGGTTTTATTTGTTCTGTTATTTTAATATCATTTGCGTAGTTGAGAGTGATGCTTGCCCTTGAGGGCCTATGGCAGGGAGGAAGCGGGGGGCAGGGTGTGACATGTGTTTCAGCTTTTATTTTTGCTCCCTGTGTGGGCAGGGGCTGAGGAATAGGGATCACTCCTCAATGTATTTTTATTTGTAAACATGTGTTGCATCTGTAGAAAAGAGACTTGGAGAGGATTTTCCCCCCTCTGTGTTTTGTTGTCGGTGATGCCAGCTGAGAGTGTCCGTAAAGTGAAGCCAGACTGGTAGCACAGGAGCAGATCATGCTGCTGTGTCTCTAGCTGTTGGAGCTGCGTGTCCAATCTGGGGCTGATGTCTCCACACGCGTGTGACCCAAGTGTGGACTCTGGTGATTCAGGCTCACCCGTGTGGCTGTTCTTCATCTGCACGGTGGGAACCGTGATGATGACTTTGGAGCTGAGCCTGACAGAACCGGGCGCTTGCCTCATTTGTCAGCATTGATGGTGCTCTGCAGAGTGTGGGCAGGGTGTTGGTGTGCACCATTGTGGGTATAGGGTGAACTTCCCCACAGTGGGAGCCAGAGGACACTGTACTTTTGGGGTTATGCCTGTTTTGGACTTAAGATTTGGGAAGAAAGATGTTGGTGTGGAGCTCTGATTTCTGTTTGTGGGGTGCATACTGGGGTCCTCTGTTCCCTTTGTCCATTTCTTAGCACTGGAGCGATCATTGTGAGCAGGTGAAGTGACTACTGTGTGTGGGCAGAGCATCCTGTAAACTGCAGTGAGATAGGGAGAGTTCTATTCTAAGACAGCTTCTCCTAAGATGCAGGGTGAAGTTTTGCTGTACTTGTACAGCTCAGGGGCATTAGTGTAGTCACATTGTTGCCTGGTCACCAGCATCTCCAGAACACTCTCACCATTGCCCCCCTCCAGTACTAGCTAACCACTGTCCTGTTTTCTAAAGATTTATTTCTGTTTTTATTGGAAAGGAAGATTTTTTTTTTTTTTTAAAGATTTATTTTTATTATTTTTTCATTGGAAAGGCGGATATACAGAGAGGAGAGACAGAGAGGAAGATCTTCCATCCGATGATTCACTCCCCAAGTGAGCGCAACGGGTTGATACTATGCCAATCCGAAGCCAGGAGCCTCTTCCGGGTCTCCCACGTGGGTGCAGGTTCCCAAAGCTTTGGGCCATCCTCCACTGCTTTCCCAGGCCACAGGCAGGGAGCTGGAAGGGAAGCGGGGCTGCCGGGATTAGAACCGGCGCCCATATGGGATCCCGGGCATGCAAGGCGAGGACCTTTAACCACTTGCGCCACCGCGCTGGGCCCTTAAAGGGAGATTTACAGAGAGAAGGAAAGAAAGATCTTGCGTCTGCTGGTTCACTACCCCAGTGGCTGCAATGGCCGGAGCTGAGCCAGTCTGAACCCAGGAGCCAGGAGCCTCCTCTGGATTTCCCATGCAGGTGCAGGGTCCCAAGGTGTTGGGCCATCCTCCGCTGCTTTCCCAGGCCATGAGCAGAGAGTGGAGCACTCCGGACACAAACTGGCGCACGAATGAGATCCCAGCTCTTGAAGGAGAAGATTAGCCACTGAGCCATTGTGTTGAGTCCACAAACGCTCTTTTTTATGTCTTTAAGGGATTTAACTGCTCTAGATAGTTGATAGAACTAAAATGATGGAACTTTCGCCCTTTTGTGACTGGCTTGTCCCACTCAGCGTTGTGTCTTGTGGCACGTATCAGTTTCTTTTCTCAGCTGAGGCTGTTCTGCACGTGCTTATGCGGCCTTTGTTTCCCTGTTCGCCTGCTGCTGCTCACTTGGGCTGCTCCCATCTTTGGGTTGGTTTGTTTGTTTTTGTTTTTTTAAGGTTTATTTTATTTTTATTGGAAAGGCAGATATACAGAGAGGAAGGGAAACAGAGAGGAAGATCTTCCGTCCAATGATTCACTCCCCAAGTGACCGCAATGGCTGGTGCTGAGCCAACCCAAATCCAGGAGCCAGGATCTTCCTCCAAGCCTCCCATGTGGGTGCAGGAACCCAAGGCTTTGGGCCGTCCTTGACTGCTTTCCCAGGCCACAGGCAGGGAGCTGGATAGGAAGTAGAGCTGCCAGGATTAGAACTGGCACCCTTATGGGATCCTGGTGCATTCAGGGTGTGGACTTTAGCCACTACACTATCGCCCTGGGCCCTGGGTTGCTCTCATCTTTGGATCAGTGTATAGAATGTCTGTGGCCTTGAGAGTACAAACGCTTGCTCATTTTCTGCTTTTGGTTCTTGGTTCTTCTGTGTTTAGTAGATTTGTTATGTATGTGTATGTCACCAGTGTTCTTGCTACTGGGGAAGGATGGTGAAGTTAATAAGGAAAGAGAATGCTCATCCAGCACTGACACTGCTCAGCCCATTTTTCCTTGAATTTTGACCTTTACTAATGAAATGCTGGAGAGGTTATATATGTGTTACAGACCACCTAGGGGACTGATACAATAGCTCAACTGGTTGATGTTTCTCTTGCAAGTGCCCACATTCCAAATGAGCACTGGCTCCTGTCCTGGCTGCTTCACTTCCCATGCAGCTCCCTGCTTGCGGCCTGGGAAAGCAGTCGAGGACGGCCCAAAGGTTTGGGACCCTTTTACTTGCTTGGGAGACCTGGAGGAAGATCCTGGCTCTGGATCAGCTCAGCTCTGACTGTTGTGCCCATCTGGGGAGTGGGCCAGTGGATGGAAGATCTTTCAATAATAATAATAATAATAATAATAATAATAATAATGATAGTAACAGCAGAGCTTGGTGTGGGCCAGCACCTTGTGATATAGCAAGGTAATCCACTGCATGCAGTGCTGGCATCTCATCTGGATGCTGGTTCATGTCCCAGCTGCTTTATTTGTGATCCAGCTCTGTTAATGAACCTGGAAAAGCTGCTTAAGATGGCCCATGTACCTGGGCCCCTAGCTCCATGTGGCAGAGCCAGCTTGGCTCCTAGCTTTGGCCTAGTCTAGCCCTGGCCATTATTGCCATTTGGAAAGTGAGCCAGAGTACAGAAGAACTCTATCTCTGCCTCTCCCTCTCTGTTGCTCTGTAACTCAGCCTTTCAGATATATTTTTTTTAAGATTTATTTATTTTTATTGGAAAGTCAGATATACATAGAGGAGGAGAAACAGAGGGAAAGGTCTTCCGTCCGATGATTCACTCCCCAAGTGACCGCAACAGCCGATGCTGCGCTGATCCGAAGCCAGGATCTAGGAACCTCCTCCAGGTCTCCCACATGGGTGCAGGGTCCCAAGGCTTTGGTCTGTCCTCGACTGCTTTCCCAGGCCATAGGCAGGGAGCTAGATAGGAAGTGGAGCTGCCAGGATTCGAACTGGCACCCATATGGGATCCCGGTGCATTCAGGGAGAGGACTTTAGCCACTAGGCCACGGCGCTGGGCCCATCACATTATGTTTTAAGAGTTTGTTAAGTCTTAACTCATTTTTTGTTGGGAAGACTGCAGTTCTAACTCAGTTGCCGGTCTGCATGAGGCCCCAGAACCCTGGTGTTGCATTGGCTGTAAGCAGTCATACTGGCAGTGTGCTGCTGAAGCCACCCTGTTTTCCCAGGGACTCAGCCTGGTGAGACGATGTCCTTGAGCGTGGTTGTCCAGTGGCCTGGGGCCAGAGGAATAAAGGACCCTTGTCAGTTCCTGTTTGCCCTGCTTTCCTGTCCATACTTCCGACTTGTTTTTTTATTCCTGTCCTGGAATCCTTGTGCTGGCTGGGCACTCCGTCCCCTGGAGCCTGGGCGGCCCCACTGACTATTTCTTTTTTCCCCTCCCTAGAATCATCGCCATGATGAGTCCCGAGGACAGCTGGGTCTCCAAGTGGCAGCGAGTCAGTAAGTATCTCCCTTTCTCCTGTCCTGGCTCATTGCCCTGGTGTTAGATGCCTCAGTTTCCATGGGGAAGTCCTAAATGAGCAGGAGAACAAACTTGGGGAGGGAGGAAGGGTGGGATTGCAGGAAAGACCTGTCCCATGCCCTAGAGTCACTTGCAGCCAAAAAATGTTTTCTTTTGGAGTTGCAGCATGTCTTTCATTGTAGTTTAAGCCTCCAGTTGGTCTTTGGTCTTTACTTCCAGTGAAACCTCCTTTCTTCTCTCTTAGGTAACTTTAAGCCAGGAGTGTATGCGGTCTCAGTCACTGGTCGCCTGCCCCAAGGTAACAACGGTCATGACAGCCACTCTTCATTTACTATACTGGGCTCGGCTGAAGTCCTGTACATGGTTACCAGTCCTTCCAACTTTATTTGAAAGGCAGATTTACAGAGAGGAGAGACAGCGAGAGTTTCCTTCCACTGGTTCACTGCCCAGATTACCACCATGCTGAAGCTGGGCCAGTCCAAAGCTGGGAGCCAGAAATTTTTTCTGGATCTCTCACATGGGTACAAGGGCCCACAGACTTGAACCATCCTCTGTTGCTTTGCCGGTCCATAAGCAGGGAGCTGGATTGAAATTGAAGCAGCTAGGACTAGAACTGGCACTCATGGGTGCTGGCATTGCAGGCAGAGGATTAGCCTGTTGGACCACTGTGCCAGTCCCAGTCCGTGGAACTTTGAGGTTGTAGATCCAGAACCAAGTCAGCCAGCTGAGGAGGAGCCAGAACCCAAAGCCTTCTGGCTTGGAGTGAATACCTATGTCCCACTTGTTGTTGGTCCTTGCCTGGCTCTCGGTGGTACAGGGCCACCGGCAGGACTGGATGTAGTCTTGGAATTCCAGTTTGTGGGTCGCTCTTCTTGGGGTCACAGCGGAGGAGGGTCTTTGCCTAGTCTTCAGAATCTTCCGTCACCAAGCTGGTTGTTTTCCTGTCCCAGGAATCGTGCGGGAGCTGAAAAGTCGAGGAGTGGCCTACAAATCCAGAGACACGGCTATAAAGACCTAGCGAGATTGGGGGTAGCCGGCACTCGGCCCTCCACCTCCCATCTTCTGCATCCTATCTGTTGTGAAAGTAGATGGACTGAACTCAGAATACTCCCTGCTCTGCGGTGCCCCTGGAGAGCCACGCCCCTGGCCCTGGGCCTCTGCGGTGCTCAGACCTCTGTTGAGAGGGGTGGGGCTTCATCGGCAGAGACTGAATGGAGGGCAGGGTGGGCTGCCGGTTTGCCTTCCCGAGGCCTGGGGCTCTTGCCCATAGCAGACCTGTTGCAGATGCCAATAAAGCCCTAGGACTTTGCTCAGGCTGTGAGACACTTCTTGCCTCCCGGTCGCTTTCTCTTAGCCATGCACAACAAGAGCTTGCCCTGTAAGTGTCTGCCCAGAATGGCAGAGTCTCTTATGCTCCCTGTCATCTGAGTGAACCTCCAGGGCTGCCATCGTCCCTGTGTGCTCCCACAGCTGTCCCTGGGATGTCTGCTGACCTGGTGCCAAGGTGGCCCCTCGGCTTGGCGTCCTTGTGGCTTCTAGCTGCGTCTTGCTGTCCTCCAGACCTGCACATGTTACCCCTTGAAGACGTCCTGAGACTTCCCCGTGCCCTTTGCACTGGACCATGTTTTTCTTTTCCTGTATGTTTTTTTTTTTTGTTTGTTTGTTTGTTTTTTTTGCTGTTCTTCCTATACCTTAGGCCGCTGCCGTTTACTCATATCTCCCATTCCATTAACTGGGGATGTGCACACCACAGGTGCCTGCTGGGTGAGCCCTTTCCTCCTGTGCCCCAGTGGGTGGCTTTGAGTAGAGCCACATTACTAGCCAAGGTGATTCACTCATACAGCCAGAAATTCACCATCAATTCTCAGTTATTTAAATTTCCACAGAAATCCTGCTAGGGTCCCATGTTGATTTTCCTGTTTTGTTTTTCCCTCCATGTGTAAAATGGGAGTTACCTCTGCCCCTTTGCCTCAGGTTTGTTATGATAAGATGAAGCCACGTGATAATTCTATAATGTGACTCATAAAAACTGAAACCTATGTGCTCTCTGTTCAGCTATTCTTGAACATGTACAGTAAGTGCACCATTAGACAAAATAGTGGGGCAGAAGTGCTGAGCCCACAGCTGCTGGGAGAGCTGTGCCTCGGGGTAGAGGTGCCTGCCCCAGGGCCGTGTGCCCCTTCACCACCTGGTGTTGCTAGTGAGTTGGTTTCTCCTGTTACCTGCGCACTGGGGTGTGTGGAAGGGAGGGGAAGAGCTGACTTGGTCCATCACTGCTTGTCCTCATGAGCTGGTGGCAAAGGTGCTGGCACTAGCTGGACTGCTGTGTCCATCTGTGTGTGGGTCCTCAAACCAGAGCCATGTTCTCGGTGCCTGTAGAGTCCAAGGGAATGATCACTTAACCTTAATTGCTAATGAGTTTTGCAGGGATTGCCCAGTCTTGCCACTGGAGGATTTGCATGGATGTGACTTAGTTGTCTCGTTCAGACTTGAGAGGGGTGTTGGGAAGCACTGCCGCCAGGCCGGGGTCCGGGTCGAGAGGGAAGGAGGTGGGTTTCAGCAAGAGTGCCCAAGGCCCCGCAGCCAACGCCTGACTTTCACTGACTGTCTCAAAAAGTCCCTTGGAAAGCCCCGACTCCTGTCCTGTGCGTCGTACCCGGACGTGGTTGTTCAGTGAGAATGGAAACAGTTGTGGGGAGGGCAGGCGAGAGGAGGTGTGCACAAATAACCACATAGGCTGTCTGGGCCCTAACTGTCGGCCTGCAGGAAGGGCAGGAGGCAGCCTTTGGATGTGTGGGGGAGGAGGATCACAGTGGCTGTGCTGAGGAGCTGCTCGCCCTTCCGAGGAGCTGGAAGGTGCGAGGGGTGGCAGGCTGCAGACCCGTTCCCTAGGAGCCCAAAGACACAGGCTGAGGTGGCGAATGAGGCTGTTGGCAGAGGGAGTCCCAGACACGGGCGCTGGCGAGTGGCATTCTGCAGCTATGCGAGCAATCTGCCAGTGAGCTGTCAAAAGGATCAGCCCCTCTTGCCTGCTACAGCTGTGCGTGTGCCCAAGGCCAAGTTCATCGTGGGCTCTCAGTCCACAAGGGAAAGGCTCCAGTCAGAAAGAAACTAGAATCATAGTGTCTAGGCTGCCTCACACTTGTCTGCTAGTTCCACGTTCTCCACTCTTTACCTCCCACATGCTGGGGGGTCAGGTGCTTACACATGAATGCGGCTGCCAGCCCAAACAGGGACTGATACCTGATAGAGCAAGGATCAAGATCTTCTGGTCTTGTTGGGGAAGGCCTAAACTCCATTTGGGTCCACCGGGTCTGGGGACTGAGCCTTGTTTTGGGTGTGGCCCCTGTCTTGTTAACTCCCAGCCTGCCCCTCTGTGGCATCTGATCTCTTTGTGTGGACGAAAGAGACAGGATATTAATACTGAAGAGCAGACTATCCGTCTTACCCTGGTGTTCTGGTTCATGTTTTATATCAAGACAGCCTGTTGTGTGAACAGTATTTTACAGTTGGCAAGGAGAAGGGGCTTTTGCATCCATGGTCCCATTTGAGCCTCGTAAACCCTTGGTCTCAGCATCCTTAGGAATGATGAGACAGGCTCTAAGACCAGGCCAGGATCAGGAAGTTGGTTCCGGGGCTGTTTCCGCCAGTTATCCCTACACCGGGCCCCTCCTGCCTTTGGGGTGGTTCAGGGAACCGGTGTGAAGCATGTACTACTTTGGGTGAAGATAACAACACGTTGGCCCAACCACCACCTCTGCTTCCCAAGAAGGGCATGGGGGACCTGTGTGGAGATTGGAAACCAGGCCAGGCCTGCTTCAGTTCCTCTACCTATATCTTGGCATTTCACTCCAGCTGTTCCTAGCACTTACTGACCCTACACACCCAACCTCTCTGTCTCCTCCCCCGCTCCTTCCATCTGTAGCCCAGTTACCCTGCTGCTGCACTGAGACTTGTGTCCAATGAAAGGCACAGTGTCTGCGTTCCAGCCCTGTGGCTTTTTTCTAGTGGATGTTACTAAATGCAGCTAACAGAGCCATGGTATTCAGTGGCAGGATAGTAGTTATCTGTTGAAAAGGGCACGAAGGGTGTGTCAGGTGATGGTTGCATTTTAAAGAAAGATTTATTTGAAAGGCAGAGTTAGAGAGAGGGATCTTCCATCTGCTGGGTCACTCCCCAGTTGGCCCCAGTGGCTCTGGTCAAGCCAGGCTGAAGCCAGGAGCTTCTGCATCTCCCATGTGGGTGGCAGTACACTAAGCACGTGAGGTGAGCCCTCTTCTGTTGCTTTCCCCAGGCCACCAAGCAAGGAGCTGGATCAGAATTGGAGCAGCTGGGATGTGAACCAGTGCCCATGTGGGACCTGTTACAATGCCAGCTCCCTGTGTATATATAATATATATTATATGCTTTCTGCTATTTAGATGTAAGATCCTAAATATAGATTGAACTTGCAGTTGCTCTAAGTCACTGTTAAAAACCTCCATTTTTGTATCATGTGGTGAAATGGTTCCAGGACTGATTGTTTTTTACCTCCTTGATTCCTGTCAGCTCCATTGCTGTTGTGTAGCTGTCTCCCTTTTGAGCCAGACTGAATGGCCATGCTTGGTAAAAATTGCTGTAGAGTGGGTGTTGGGGTTCAGAGACCTTCCTCTGAAGCAAAGTGGAGCCTCAGGGCTAAAGCTGCAACCTCAGAACAGACTCTGGCTGTGTGCTAGGAGGATGGAACCCCAAAGACCAGGTCAGCCTGACCTCCAGGGAAAGTCACCCCCTCTTTGTGTGTCCTACAGTACCTGCTCAGGACCTTTCTCTTAAAGCTGCAATGTTTCCCTTGAAAGAAAAGTTAAGAAATGGGGAAGAAATATGATTTCTGTTTTTAAAAAGTAACTTCACCGAGGTCCAGAAGCCTTAACTGCCTACTACCCTGTCTGACTCCTCACACACTAATTTCCCACAGGACCAGCTGTGGCTGTTGTGGCCATTTGGGGAGTGAACTAGGGATGAGAGACCTCTTTCTGCTCCCCTTCTCTCAGTAAATTCTGCCCTTCAAATAAATAAATAAACTTGGGGGGAAAAAGCTACAATGTTTCTTTTTGCCTCAAATGAAAAAGTCCCAAGGCATGGTGGCAGCCTGGGGCTGAGACAGTCAAGGAGCACTCGGGCCATTTCCTGCCCCGTGGGCTCTCTCCCTGCCAGCTGAGGGCTACAGAGACAGCTGGGGCGGCTTCAGACGCTAGGGTGGGGGACCCCAGCTTCTCTTCAAACTTGATTCCTCGTTCCTCTTCCCAAACCCAGTAACTGCCACCCCCTGTTCATCCCCTTCCCCCCTGCTGGGAAATACCTGAAAGGAAGTAAGCACTCAGGGTCAGCAGCCAGGAAGTGGGGGTTTAACTGTCACCTCATCCCTGGGGGCTTGAGTAGCAGAAGACAGAGGGGAAATGCAAATCCACACTGGAGAGGGGGCAGGGGTGGGAGGGTTGCCCCAGCTGTCCTCCTGGGCCCAGTGGTCCTGACTGTGACCTTGAAGGAAGGGAAGGGCCACAGGAGGGAGGGAGGGATTCAGGCGCCCCACCCGGGCAGGCAGCTGCAGCACTTTCTCTGGGTGGTCTGGCAGGCTCACTTCCCGACCCTGCACCCTGAGAAGTGGGGAGATATGATGGGGGCAGGGTCTCAGGTATGGAGATGGGGTACAATCCCATAGGACAAGCAGCGAGCTGGAAATGGCCGTGTCCCTGAGGGACTGGAGGGACGTGTAGTCTGTATCCGCAGCGGGAGAGACTGTGGACACAGGGCAGCTCCCTGTGCCTCCTTTATCCCATTTACAGACCCAGGAGCCAGACCCCAGAACCAGCTGGTGTCCCTGCAAAGGAGTCACAGCAGCTGGAGGCTGCGTGGGCTTGTGTCCCTACAGTAACAGTCACTTTCACTCAGATGGCAAGTTCTAGGTCCAAACCAGCCCCCTCTATGATTGCGTGGGACCCTTGGTGCCATCCCATGAGGCCTCCTTGTTCCCCTTTCACAGAAGAGAAAGCAGTTTCTGTCTTGTCACTTGCCTGGCGTTAGTGGCCAGGCCGGCAGCCCAGCCCATTCGCCTCGTGTGAGACTCAGGTCCTCGGGTCTCCCTTCCCTTGTGCATGGCAGAAGGGGGTCAGGGGCTCATAACTGCCACGCAGGGCATAGGGGTCCTCCTCATCCTCAGGTGACCTTGAGACCCAGCTCCCTGGTGGTGCTTCCTTGGGATGGTGGGACACTGACCTCATCATTGGTCTCTTTGGGGTACAGCCACCAATGCCTCACTGCCCAAACACGCCC